CCCCCCCAGTTTCCTTTTCTCCCCTATCCTTCATTCCCCCCATATTTTGTTCTCTCTCCGCCCCTCGTTTTCCTGTTCCCCCTCTATTCTTATTCTCTCCCCCCATTTTCCTTTTCTCCCGATCCTTCATCCCCCCATATTTTGCTCTCTCCCCCGCTTTTCTTTCTTTTCTCTCCTTCACGATTTTTCTTATCCCTTCATCTTTCTTGCCCGTTTGTTTTATTTTTATTTTTTCAAGGGGGGCATTTACATGCAAGACACTGTTACTGTTAGTTCTAATCGTAAGCATCATTTTCTGGATTTTAAAAGGAAAGCTCATTTAATGTCAAGAAAAATAATAATGTTACTACACGTAGCTCACGAAAGGTTGAGGGGACCTTTAGTCGAGGTAAGGGGGGCTCAGTTGTGGTAGGGGAGGGGGGAGCTCAGTCGAGTTAGGATCGAACTTGCTTACGGAAAGGGAGCAGCCTAGTCAAATTTATGTTAGATGAAGACCATGGAAATAGCTTCTGATAAAATTTAAGGAGGGTGTCGTCGGTAAGGATTAGAAAGGGATAGCCTAAAGTTGGGGGGGGGGGAAGGTTTTATTCAAAATAAAAAGAGAAACTTCCTGCATCGTTAATGGGAGATTTTAATGAACCTTTGAGGGGACCCTTTTAATTCCACGAATGAAATAAATTTGTACTTTTTTATTTTTTGTCATGGAAATAAAATTGCTCAATGTATCTGTATGGAGAAGGCATCCATAAATATTCATCCTTACCTAAGTTTTTTTTTTTTTTTTAAAAAAAAAATTATATATATTTACACCGAAAACTACGCAAATTTCTGCAGTGGAATCGGAGACAAAACTGCTGACTATAGCCTCAAATTGCTTCTAGAGAGCATCAAATTTTCAAAATTTTCCGGGGGAGGCCCCCCGGACCCCCCGTCAGGGGAGGGGGCCGCCCCCTGGAAATTCGCGGCTGTTTAAGGGGGGGTGAAAAGTAATGAAATAGGGGGGGAACTCGTCAAGTACCTAGGGGGGGAGTGACACCACTGCCCGTCTCTAGTTCTTTTTTTAGCATAAATACGTCCTATTATGGCAGAATATTCTGTATGAATAAATTGCAAGTCATAAAGTTGACTTGCAACTCTTCGAAACGTTCAAAATAAAAACGGGAATGTTGAAATAGCGCAAATGAGGTACGTGGTTTCGCACTTTAGCCATCGATCCATGATCAGGAAGCTAGAAACCACAAACGTTCTTTTATCACAAAAAAATGGATTGCTGATTTAACAATTTAATTGTTAAAAAATATGTCCGACATGTTTCAAATGTATATTTTACAGTAGTGGAAGGCTAATTAAACCACCGGAGGGGGGGGGTTGAAATAGCATTTTTTTTTGTAAAAAAATTGAAACATGTCGGACACTTTTTTAAACTACAAAATTGTTAAATGAGCAATATAATTTTTTCTGTGTTTTCCGCGAATGCCAGTCATGGTGTTGAGGCTAAGAGAATACTCACTGAGGAGAGAGGCTTCTTTAAGTTGGTTCCTTTGAATGATTTGGCCTTCTTGTTTGGCCTGCCAGAGGCTCGGTGACAAGGTGGCGATGCACTTGAATTTAATGCTCCCGTCGCGGAAAAGGTCGTTTGTGACGGTCAGCGTGAGTCCCAGCTGCGTTTGCCGCAGCCCGTGAGAGCTGATGATTTCTGGATAGGACCTCAGCGACGGGCCTTTTACCTGAAAATCAAATAAGTTAAGGCATGAATAGTATTAGCACCTAGATTCACCATTCAACGAGAGAGAAAGGGAGGGAGACAGGGGGAGAGAGGGAGAGAGAGGGGGGGATAGAGAGAGATAGAGAATACAGTATCCACCATTATCCGGATCGGAGTTGTAGCAGAGAGTAAAACATCGTGGATAATCCGAAATGAACATCTTCTGCACGAGAGATACAACCAACTGGGTAGATTTATTAAAAATAAAATCGCACAAAAATTACGTTGAGCACATCGGGAATGTCTGATCTATGCAGGGTGATCCAAATTCCCGGCCCATATAATTTTTTCAACAAATTGAAACAGAGACTTGAAATGTTGAACTCCTGGGTCATTGGAAAAGACTACTTCCAAATTCTGTGTGTTGCGCAGTATCATTCTCAATTGAAGGCGTTTCTTCTTTCCTTGCGTCAGTCGGGCTTTCCTCCTGACCGCACTCTTCATTCCTCTTTCCATCCATCTCTCCCCCTCCCACCCCTCCCTTTCAGGAAACCTGATTACCGGTGACTGAGAAAAGTGCCAACAGACGGAGTAAATTCAAAAATGCTCTCTAAAACATACGAAAGGAAAATCGTTTGTACCTTTTCCCATAAAAAAGAAATACAAATGGTCATACACTGCAAGCTTTTCGCAGTTCCCGATTTCTTGTGGTCTGACACTTTCTTTGAATAAACGGACGCGCCACGCAGTTCATTATTTCGAAAGGCGGCGCAATGATAGCCCGAGGCGTTCGGCGTTCTCTCTTTCTCCATCCCTCAGCTTCGAACCTGGAAGCGCAGCTCTCCGTCGCCTCGTCCTCATGCATCATTTCCTGTCAAATGGACATTGTTCCAGTTCTCCCGTGCTAACGCCACGATTTAACTTAAAACGCCCTACAAACATTCTAACGTTGCCAATTTTTTCGTGTAATATTAGAATTTTCTCAAAAACTTAGATTAGAACTTAGAAATATTTGAAATTTTATGTTAAATTTTAAACGTATCTTAATATGTTGAGAGAAAATATTTCGAGTTTTTCTTTAACTTCATAACCCTCAATAATAACAAAATATTGATTTTATAGAATTCTTCTTAAGTTTATTCGTAACATTTTTTGAGAATTTGATGCGCATTTCCATGCATGGATTTGAAAATTTTAGGGAGAAAAATTTATAATTTTTTATAATTTCACAGCGTTTATATGTTAATTGTACTTGAACATTTATTTCTGAGGAAAGTAACGAATTTTTTCCCGTCGGATTTTTTGAAAGTTTTTTTTTTGCGATTCTTTTCGTGTACCTGAGCTTTTTAGGAAACAGGTTTGAGCTCCAGATTTCAAGAGAAGACTGTTGCGTTTCGGTTCGGAATTTGCGAATAGTTTAGTTGGCATTAAACAAGATTTATGTCATACAATTGCATGCCTAGACAGGTGCTTTTTTGAGCTTAAAATCGTAGTCTCTAATGGTCTCTAATCGTAGTCTCTAATCGTCCAATTTTTTGTCTACGAAGAACCAAATGTTGCATGATAATCCGAAATTTTCGAACCTTGAACAAGGTGGATTCTTACTCTAAGTAACTTTTATTCGAAACTACGTTTTCAGAACTACGAACTTCAAGCCATCATAACTCTAATTTGATGCAAGATTTTTTAATGTTATTCATTCCAAAATTATTGTACTTAAAATACTCCTCCGGGCTTTCTAATCTACACTCAATTTTAAGTTTGTGTGAACTAATAGTAAGATTCCTCACTGATGAGTGTCTAACGGGCGTTACTGGGGGGTCAGGATGCAATTTTGTAAAAAATTTTAAAATGTCGAAATTTTTTCTCTGACTTGAAGAATAATAATAATAAATAAAAAAAATAAAAATAAAAAAAACAGTATAATCTCTGTTTTTGCATGCAGGCACTTACATTATCAGTCTTAAACTATTGCATGCAAGATTTTTCCCCCTCTGCAAAACTGTACATCTTTATGCGTGCTTTCGATCAATTCTATCCATTTCATCAAAGGAAATGTGGCAACGTTTAAATGCACATACGGCGTTTTTCCTTAGTATTGTTCGAGTCGCCGCCAGCGCAGCTTCCAGTCGGAACCGTAAGTGTCGATCAAACCTCATCCCACTCCGATTCTCTCCGCGTTGCGCTTAGCCATGTCTGCCTTTCCCCTTCGTTTCACCCTAAACGGGGGTGCGTTTGGGGGAGGAGGAGGGGGGTCAAGTTGTCAAACACCCCTTCTTTCTTCCCGTCTCCTCACGTTCTCCGGGGAAGGAGAGCGGGGAAGAGATAAGTTAGGGGAGGAGGTGAAAGGCGATCGGTGGGTGAAGAGGTTTTGATCAACTTCCGCCGAAGGTTGCAGTATCCTTTTCAGGAGAGAAATCTTACCATTGAACACCAGTGGCGAAGCGTGAACGATCGATTATCGATATTTCCCCATTTGAAGCTATGGGAAAGAATCGATTATTAAGGTGTTCGTTGCGAACACCCTGTTTTTCGATCTTTTTCCGTAGGCTTAAGTGGCAGATCAATCGATATATCGCAAAGCACGCCACGCCACTGTTGAACACGAGAGTAGAGGAAGAGTGCGGACGTTGAGAGATTCATTTCTGATCCGTTCAGCTATCTGGGGCTCTATGAGAGCTCAATACCCTTCTATCAGTGTTCGTTTTATTTTTCCCCTAAAAAATTACGATATGAGGTATACTTTAATTTTAAACTTTACTTAAAGTTACTTTAAAATTAAAAGGACGCATTTTGGAATGACTGCTTGATGAAATATTGCAGTAAAACAATGAACAATGATAGTCAGGTAATAATTAAGATATCATGAGTCGGGGATCGGAACCCACACCGATTTTAAAGAGGACGCCTTCGACGTCTTAGACGACTCGGCCACCGCCACCGCTCGACATGCGTTCTGAGGGGCGAATCTTGTGTAGATAAGTGTAGAGCTGATGCGCAGGCTACACAGCTACTGCGCAACCTCCTCGACCACTGCGTATCCTCCCGCGCATAGCGGTAGCAGTACCGGAGCATTCTGTAAACTCACTCACTTTTATAACGTGATTTTAAAAAAACCTGGGTCCTTTTTCCAAAATCTGATTACAGCGGGCTCATCTAGGGCCTATTACCTGTCGATTTACGCAAAAATCATGGAAATCGGGCCGGTAGAAGGCTCAAACGAACCACACTGAGAAAAAACTATGGTTTATAAACCTATTAGAGGTAAATATGGAACACCTATAATAGTCGTAAATAAACTAATGATTCTCGGTCTGTGAACCATACTAAGGTCTCTGTACCTAATTAAGGTACCCCGTACCATAACTAAGGTATATGTGCTATTATTATATGTAGAGGTACTACTATTAGTGGTGTTCCATATTTACCTCTAATAGGTTTATAAGCCATAGTTTTTTCTCAGTGCATGACAAAAAGTGTAAATTTACATTGTTTAAATGGAAGAATTCGCAACTTTACCACGTAATATGTATAAAAAAACCTGGGCCATATTTTGGAAATCTGAAAAGAGTTGGCTTATCTAGAGACAATTGCCCGTCGATAGCCGCAAAAATCATGAAAATCGGCTCGGTAGAACGCTGGAACTAAGCGTTACCAGTTTCGCAAAATTAGGAGGTCTTGGAGCTTATAGTATAGGTAGCGAACGTTCCAATTAAATTATTTAAAATTATTGAGAATGAAGTTTCAATTTCTTTCAGAATGAACTAGATAAGGTATACGAAAGTAAGCATTCTAATACATGCTTCGTAATCAAAATTTAACGTAGAACACGATTCGTGCAACAAAAATTTCTGGAATTGACTCCTAAATAGGAAATTTAATGTTTCAAGACGCGTGAATTTAAACCTCCCGCTCATGAAAACGCAATGGTCTACATACGTCAGATCGCAAAATAAACGTTTACCAATGGATCCATAAGTAACATACCTGCTGCAAGAAGACGGGAAAAAGCGTACACTACTAACGTGGTGAACGCTCAACAAAATAAAATGAGCTATGCAAAACGAGTATCCGGATATCGGAACTTGGCTGTTTTGAAAACGCCTTCAAATGCGGCGAGATACCTCTCGCATTCCGGAGAGTTCAAATAGTTGTATCATTGCGCCTTAAAAATGCGCCGGAAGATTAAAATTTAAATAGCCTCCATGCACGCTGGGCTTGTCGATTTCCTTTGACATGTTTGCAGTCGTGAATTCATAGCTAAAGTGCGCTTCAGCTAAAATTATACATAGCAAACGGGTAACTTTCTCAGGAGGATTATAAATAGACAAGTGGTACGGAATAAAACAAAATAATATGAACCATGCAAAACGATTATCCGGATATCGGAACTTGGCTGTTTTGAAAACGCCTTCAAATGCGGCAAGATACCTCACGCATTCCGGAGAGTTCAAATAGTTGTATCATCGCGCCTTAGAAATGCGACAGGAGATTACAATTAAAATAACCTTCATGCACGCTGGCCTTGTCGATTTCCTTTGACATTCTTCAAACATGACATTCTTCAAAGTATGGTCCATTATAAACTCGGTAAAACAGAGGCCAGGACCCAAAGCTTGCAGAAAATATGCCTTACGTCAATGATTGCTTCAGGATCATCGAATCGGATCACTGGTGGATTGAACTGATAAAAAACGAATCAATGATAATATGGATGAAAGGAAGCCAACCTTTGTTGGCTCTCATAAAATCTCAGTCAAAGCGTTGAAAAAAAATCAAGTGAATGTTTCTTCTCAGTTTTTATTTTTATTTTTAATATATGTATTAATTCAAGTAGGTAAGTTTATTTCTGTATAACCCTTAGGAAGAAGATTACCTAAAATTTTGTAAAGCCAAAAGCCTGAGGAATCTCTCCCTGGAAAAAGTGAACCACTTATTGAAGCCGCCAGTAGATTTCATGAGGCTTCTTAAAATATCGGGAGGCGACCTGAGAAATTTTTACGACTTCGACGGGAGTGGAGGCGAGAGCTAGGAGTGAATGACCTGGCAACGCAACAAAGAGAAACCCGAACTATACCTACGTAAACGAAACCTTTCTTGTTTTTTTTAAAAAGAAAAATGAGGAATTTCAAAGGTTCGAATCTGATCGAATTTGGCAAATCCTCAAATGCATCGCTACACTCGTAAACAGATAACGTGAGAATAGGCCTGATGAATACCCTGATCTCATCAATACGAGAAATCGGCTCTTTTTTTTTTAATAGAATGCGATAATATGTAGACGTTTAGGGGTTCCGTATTTAGTAGTACCCCTAAACGTCTACATTAGCACGGCAGCATAACTGTTAACCTTCAAACTTAACTTTTGTCTTACTCGATTGCAATGCTTGGATTGTCAGTGCGGGGTCTATAAAATGTATCGTCTCTGGTTGTAGAGAGAACTCAACTTGAGTCGAAAGAAAATGATCTTGAGGCTAAAACAGGTTTCTATTTTTTATTCATTTGACTTGCTAGTATGGAGAGAATGAAAAAGGGCAAATCCACCACATAGCGGTTTGAAGAGCGAATACTGAATACGTAGAATATAAAGACACGAGCTTCCTGCCGGGAACAGAATGCGCGTTTTTTCATGGTTTCCATCGGAGTAATTAATTTTGATCTCATCCATTGGGACTCAACCTCCACCCTCCCCTCCGCCCGTTGGGCAGCTCCGATAATTTCCATACCCATCATAAGCCTACTCCAGATCTCTCCCTCCATGTGAACGTATGAAATTGGAAGCAGTGAAAGCGAAGCAACCCTCCCAATGATGATGAATTTCTCGCGGTTTATCCACCTGTATCGATAGATAATTACATTGAGTGTGAATTAGACGTCATTAAAGAGTGAGGATCGAGCCAATTTACGCCTTTCGAGAAAGAGGCTATCTATTTCAAGTTTATATCTAGCAATAATCTAGTCGAACGGGGGCTCAGTTTAGGATTTTTCATAATAGACAGGGTTATAATGAAAACCTGAACCGGGGCGCCGCGAAACACGCACTGACGCCTACAAACCTAAGCGGATACTTCACGCATTGCGCAATGCTGGAAGTATCCCCTTAGGTTTGCAGGCGTCAGTGCGCGTTTCGAGCTGGCAGCGGCAGCACGCCATGTCCGTAGCGTGCCATAAACTTACCCACAATCAATAGGTCAGGATGTTAAAATGTAGGCAATTTGAGATTAAATTCGAAATTACCGACTCAAAAACATCAGTTACGAAACTTTCGTGATCTATCAGTCATTATCCAACTTATTTCTTCCTATCCTTCAGTTTTGGACCATAGTACGCCGCGGGCGGCGGCGCTCATGAAATTCTCCCTTTTGCTCATTCGTCAGCTCCCTGGTCTACCCCTATATAAAAAACCTAGGCGCTATTTCCAAAATCTGATTACAACGGGCTCATCTAGGGACTATCACTTGTCAATAACCGCAAAAATCATGGAAATCGGCACAGTTGAACGCACAGACGAACTGTGACAAAAATTAAAAATTTACATTGTTTAAATGGAATAATTCGCAGCTTTACCACGTAATATAAAAAACCTAGGTATTATCTTCAAACTCTAAATATAGCGGGCTCATCTAGAGATAATTGCCTGTCGATAACCGCAACAATCACGATAATTGGCCCGGTAAAACGTTGGAACTAAACGTTACCAGATATGTAAATTTAGGTCTCGGAGCTTATAGTATAGATTGTTCCTAAGCCACCCATATATCTGTGTTTAGTGATATTTTCTACTACATTAATAATAAAAATAAGGAAACTTACTTTTTGATCGTTGATGTACCAATGCAACTCTGAAGCAGGGTACGATTTGCCTGATGTGCAGTTGAGGTTTATTTCATCTCCTATCTGATAGTATTGGCGCTTGCCTGATATGTGCGGTTTATCCCTCGGCAAAACTGCAACAATTTTTTTAAAAAAATCATGAGGTGAAATTCTTAAGTCCATAATTGTCTTTCATAAGAAAAAATACAACGTATACATATTATACGCGACAAAAAAAACCACAGTCGGTTGAATATATTTGCATTACTCTGATATTCCTGAAAAATTGTTGCCTCACTGGTGAGCCGTTTCATGGAAATTAAAATCATTTCGTGGCTCCTCTGACGTAAGGGCGTATCTCTCACTCCACAAGAGCCCTGGAAAGCATAGAGTTATACGGAGAACAAGGCTCAAGCGGAAATTGAGATACGCGTTTACGTATAAGAGGCGGCTTTGGACGTTGACGGTCTAGTTTATGGTCTGCGCTCTGAGCGTTTGATCCCCGGTCCGTGAAGTTCAGCGCAAAATTGACTGCGCGCGGTGCATACGACACATTCACACAAACCTCCATCGTCCGGATTGCATGATCTCCACGGACAGGTTGCCATGCTGTCACGAAAATCACATCTCCCGCGAAATCATAAAAAAATACAGAAGACCTAGAGTAGAGAGGGAGAATATGGACATCACGAAATATGTAGCTCTTAGGGCCCAAAAGGGTAGGTAACCTTTGAAAACGAAAACTATCACTGTCAATATTTAGACTCCAATATAAAAGAAAATGGACAAGAAAGTTCATAAGTAAGCATTCTTCCGCAAACATGAGTAAGTTTATGCAAAAACCGAGTCAAATACGTGCTTTACCGACAACAGCTCCCAACAATTGTGACTATAAATCACCCTGGATAATTTGAATTCATAGATTGCCTACCCTTTTGGGCTCTAAGAGCTCCATCGCCTTGAGGCCTGGATACACGCTCAAATTTCCATCAATTTGCGATCAAATGGTGACAGATGCGCACCATCTTTCATCTTATTTCTGCGGCCTGCAAAAATTTGACCGCCATTTTTGCTATCATTTTGATCGGAAATTGACGGAAATTTGAGTGAGTATCCAGGCCTTAACCTCAAAATTTTCGACTTGTCCATACTCTCCCTAAATAGGTACTCTAAGAGGACGGAGAGAAAAAATTGCAACACGGCTGGCGTCTATATTAATGTCGGAGCAGGATTGTAATGATACAAATTTGATCACGGAAAGCGGGAGACAAGAGGCATTTTCAAAGGACGTCACGAAGCCAGAGGCTGTCAATGGTCGTCGGGTCATAATACGATGACAGAAGGGCGAGAAGGGTACCGTCTCCAGAGGCGGGGTTGAGGCCTCGGCATGTTGACATATTTTCCGCCTATTCTAAAAGGGACTCAAAAAGGGACCTCCGTCCATATTCAGAGACAAATTTTTAAGCGAGCCAATTTTCTCAATTGAGATATCAATTTCCGGTGGCAAGTGCGCTCATGTCGTCGTTCCCCAGACGAAGGAACGTAACACCATTCCAAGTTTGCAAAATTGACTCAAACAATGCTCTGGAAAAAAAGTCGCTTGGATCTGGAGTCCAGACTCTTAAAAACACTGACAAGAAAAAATGCTCTTGGTTCAATCGAACTTTTAGCTTGAATCAAAAGGAAATTCGCCTAAATCAAGAAGCTCGGCTCTTCGATTCAAGGAAAAATCGGATTGAATCAAGAGTATTTTTTCTTGTTAATGTTTTTGAGAGTCTGGACTCTAGATCCAAGCGACTTTTTTTCCAGTGTGCGATTTTTGTACGAGAGGATGATACTGCAATGAGTCAGTTGCGTCAAAGTGAAACTCGGATGAAAGCAAGGTGGAAGAAACCAAGGGTGTCACCACCGCGGTGGATGACGTCATAAACCGATTTTTCAAAACGCAATATATCAGTTAATATTGAGCGCAGAGAGTTGCTGTTCGGGTGGATTTTATTATCTTTAGCTAATCTACAAGCATCAAGCATGAAAAAACTATTCCGTGAGCAACACAATTGATCCATTTCTGTCCAAACTCTTCCTGCTTTTTCTTGTAATTATAGTAAAATCGAAAAGTTCAGTTATAAATGCCGCACGGTTTTGGAATGAAAGCTCAATCTGTGAGTAGAAATTTTGCCACCCTGAAATGCAGTTACGTTCTTTCGCTAGGAAAACGACGGTATGTCCCCAAACAGAACGTTACGAGATATTTGGTCCATTATTGTGTGCGCAGAAAAGAGCATAGTTTATACATACTGTAGGTCGCTTTATAGCACTCCCCTACTACTAACACACCTCCCTCACACTCTTGAGCTGACCGATTTTGGCTCGACCATAAACGAGGAAAATATCATAATTTTTCCTTCCAGGCGGCAACTTTGGGACGGAGGCAAGTGTTTGGTATGCCCATCCCGACGCATCAATATGTAAATGACAAAAGTAGGTATAGGAAACCGAGCCTTTCCTTGCGGCACGTCGTTTTCAAGGGGACGGGGAGAAAAAGGGAGGGGGAAGGGAGCCACTGGAAGGGGGGGGCAGCAGTATCCCGTATTATTTATTTGCATATAACGTGTTCCTCACATTCGCAGATGTGCAATGATGGCGCGGCTTGCAATAGGTTTGCACGGATATTTTGTAGGATCCACAGTTATTCTTTGGAAAAAATGCTTCGGGTTTGAGAGCAATAGAGAATTTGCAGCTGTTTGAAATTTGATGAATTTCGTGTTTAAGTAAACTACTGAATGAACTGAACACGAGGATACCCTTGGTTCATGAATTGAACAATTATTGGAGAAGATAAGACAAAATGATCGAATCTGCTACAATACGTGTGTTTAAATGGAAAAAACCGCCAGATAACGTCACTAGGCGGTGCATTTCCTCACTTTTAAATATATTTTTATACTGTTTCCCATAAAAGGAAAAAATTATAAAAAATACTGTAAAATCAGCGATTTAAGCACTTTCAGTTGAAGCAATAAACAAATTTGCATACAAATTCTCTAATGCCGCAATTATTGGTTAAAAGGAGTATACATTTTGCATGGAGAAAGAAAAGAAGACGAATAGTGGTAGTAGTAAAAATATTCCCTCAGCTTAAATCGGTGCCTCAGCAACTATGGCCATTAACACCTCTTTAGTTAAGTTATAGCGGGAAAAAGGGCACGGGGTTGTGGGATGTCATGTACATTTTTGATTAATTGTGGTAGTACCCAAATTAATGTGAAAGTGTCCCAAAAAACAAGGTTACTAACTCAAGTGTTGCGGTACCACCAAAATGGATTTGAAATGTTTCACCAAATTGGGGTTGTACCACAATTTTGGGGAATGACCCATAACTTTTTTTTCGGTGTACTTACAGGCATTGGTGCAAAAAAAGAACACGGAAGGAAGTAGGTAGTAAAAAAGAAGAACGTGCAATTTGGAGGATTGGAAAAAAAAATAGAATAAAAAAAATTAATAGTGGCATACTTCATAATGGGGAAATGTTCATCAGAAGGGGCGTAAAGAGAAAAGGATAGAAAAGAGCGGAGATGAAAATCACGTCACAGCAAAATTTGTTGAAACAACTTATTGCAGAAAGGAAGTGACTTAATTAGTCAGGTTAATTTTAGTCGAACAATGGAGTTTCTTCGTCATGAAAAAATTTCTAAAGTTGTCACAAATAAACAAATGCTATCGCACTGCGGAAAATGTTCATGTCACGGCGGCTTTTTCTTTGACATCAAAACCTCAATATATCTACGCGACTGCTAATTCCTAATTTTACCGTTGACGACAAAATGCATTTGATTAAAAAATCTCTCACGCAGAAATAATTGCTATCTATAGTAATCACACCGTCAAACTATTCCAATTTCAATGAAGGTCGATTACTAGTGGGAGAAATCGCAATATACTAATTATTACGTGCAGCGCGGGGTCCATTCCTGTTGTATGTTGCCTAGCATCTCAATTCAAGGCGCGGATATTATCGGAGCTTTGCTGCAACACAATTGCGATTTCTATGGCAGTGGCAAGTTTCTCATTCTCTTTATTCTGGAAGCTGAAATTATCTGTAATGCTTATGGTGAACCGTATATCAATCACTCATTAATTTTGAACTTTAATTTTCTGACAAAATTATCTCAATAAATTGAATTATTGTTACTTTCCCTTTGAAAAATAGTATTTACTAAATTGCCTTGTAGCAATTGCATCTGCGTATCATAGAAATTAACTTGAAATGAGCTTACCTGTGCAAAGAAATTACGATTTAGTCACAGTTTTATTACGATCTTTAGTGAGATAGCATGTTGCGTATTCCCTCGGTTTCAGACGCCAAAATTATTTGACTTCCATCGGGGAGAAATTACAATTTTTAGATTGATTAGGTGTTCCCTATCCTCTCTATTCAGGGCGTGGGAATTGTCTTCACTAATAATGGTGGCATATAGATTCATGGACTACTTGCTTCATTCAAAGGATTAGGGACCAAATTTATTTTAATGTCATAGCTTAGAGGAGTTTTATACGAATTTGTAGGAAAAAAAACTCCCACGATCATTGTAATTTGAACGGAGTTGTCAGTGGTTTTTAAATTGGTATTAACGCTTAGATGCCCAAGCCTGGTCAAATAAGTGATCCAAGTCTTGCTAAAAACATGTGGCTGCGGGTTTCATGGGACCGGTGAGTACGACTTTTGGAATGGGTCTACAAATACATCCTAAAATACTTCCTCTACCCGTAAAATGAGCAAGAAAGTAAAAAAAAAAATGAAACATCGAATTGGAAATAAAAGAAAAAATTATCTGTCAAAATTGCTGTTGACACAGGCAACATCATTGACCGCATAGAACTGAGAAGTGCGAGTTTACGCGCACGCCTAACGCCTTCAATTTTGCAGATACAACAAGGACATCCGCCAAACACGAATAGTTGTATGTCTGCGCCGTGCCGTTATTATCGCGAACCTATTTTCTTGCTCTATAACCATGTTGTGTTGTTTCCGTTTTTTTATTTTTGTTATTCTTTTATGTCGCTCCAGAGGTTACGTGAACAACACAGCCGAAGATGGAACACTTGATATTTTACTGATTGTGTAAAAATAAAC